TAAATATAAAGCACAATATAGCTGCTGTTGGTAATCACAAGGACATTGTTTTATTATTCTATCAATTTTGAAGCACATTTCTTCACCATCATATCACTTAATCCTCAAAATATGCAATAAGGAAGTAATTCATATAGTATAATAAGAAGTTATGGTTCGTCGAAAGACGCAAATATCTACTTTATATGCTTCAACACTCCTTTTTACATTGTACGTCACAAAGAAGATATTGATCAGTATGCCTATGACGAATTCGTTAAAAAAAATAGTGATGAGCTTCTGAAAAACTTAGTATTCACTCATCATACTCATTTGAGAATGATTCAAAGCCTTTCAAAGATCAGCAATACAATAAAAAAGAAAGGACTTTAAAAATCAAGCATCGATATCAATTTTTCGATTGTTCAAGAATGATACCCAAACTAACTTTTTCTATGATGTCATCAAATAATTCGTTAATAATGATTTATATTTACTAAAAATGTAGTTTTTTTTTATTCTTTAAAGTATACATTAATATTTATAAAAAAATAAAGCAAAAACTAGATTATTGCCCAAGATAAAGAATCATTAAAATATTCTGTGCAACACAAGAAAACATATTAATCCATTGATTCATTTTGAACTTGTAATGCTACTTCAGTATCTTTAACAATGGTTTTCATTAATTGATCATGTGATTGAATATCTGCCGCTTTAAAAGTACACATACTTTGATCAAGAAAACTTTTAATAAGACCAGCAAAACGTAATGAAGCTTCATTATAACCAAATCGATGTATCATGTACTTAAACATCATTTCAATATAAGTATTTTGAATATCAAATAGACGTTTTGTATTGAAAAAAATTGAATTTATTTCAATGTCGGTTAATTGATCTAAGTAAATGAGAATAGTTTTAAAACAAAAATTATTCATAATACAACAAAAATTCTATTTCAGAATGATTAATAAAATGTCTTGACAAGATTTATTATAGAACTACGTTTTCAATAATAACTTAATAACATAAATTTGATTAGATAAGGCTAATTGAATATTTCTAAATGCGATAATAAAGAGTTTTTTTGCACCGCATTATCATATAATCATAAGTCAAACAAAATTTGAGAACAAAAAAGCTTATATGATTAGGATAAAAATTCTTAGTTTATAGTGCTTTTGAAAAACTTTGAGTTAACAGTCTTATCAGTGATGATAAAAGAAGAAGAGCAAAAAACGAAGTATTAATGTAAACATTGTGTAATATTATGTAATATCAAGAGACTATCAAAAGAATATCAAATTATAAAATAATACATTATAACAAAAGGCAATAGAATAATTAAGTCAAAAGTCTATTTTGATAGATGGCACCATGCTTTTTTTTCTATTAACTAAGTTTGCTAGGTAACATGACTATTTTTGTGCTGGTACCTTCAATAAATAATCAAACTCAAAAATTAAGTGACAACAACCGATATGGCTAGTTTAGGCAACTTGACCATGCTTAACACATTTACAATATTACATTTTAAGTGAAATCTATGCTTTGAATGACGTGGATTTTTCCTAAAAAACTAAATCATTAAAAGATTGTCTTCTATATTCTAGAAATCGATAATGCTTCTAGGAGACTGAAGAAGAAACAACACAACTTTGATCGAAAGTGATAATGTTGGAAACTAAAGTGAAGAGTTTTGAGTATTTTCTCGTTCAGAATATTAAAAAAATCAAACAATTAAAGTTGAATTCAATATTTATTATTCAAAAACTAAAGAATATAAAACGAACAAAAATTACTTGAAAATATAAAGTTATCATAATTGTCTTTTTTTGCTACAATAAAAGACAAATCATTGAGAAGATCAGAATTCTTTAATCAAGTAATTATTATATCTTATTTAACTTTATAATTCTGATATTTGTTTATTTTGATACTACATTTCCATCTATGTCAGTTTCATCTTCAGATGACAGTACTAGTTTCTGTGAAAAGAATCCTATATATGTAAAAAAAAAAAGTACAAACATTTTGAGATCTTGTCTGATTATTTTAAATTCTATTTATGAACAAATTATCAATTCAAGAAATTATAATTATATTAAAACTAATCTCTTATAGAATAAGATCAATAAACAAAGAAATTTATAGTTTATTCTTACAATTATTATTTACATTGCTTGGAATATGAATACAACATGATGTTGAAAATAATAAAATTGGTATCATTAATTTTATTAATGTAACATCATTATCAGTACGTCTAGCAATTGTTACAGCATCATCTACAATTGTTGATCCATATATTAAAGGAAAACCATTTTTAAATGCTGTACTAAATGGAACTTCAGCATCACGAAATACAATAATACCATTAAAACCACCAACATATGAAAGATTTCTTTCAATTAATTCACATTGATCATAACGTGTCATTGTTTGAAATTCAGGTAATATTTCAACTAATGGACGTATACCTTGATACATTGATATAATTATTTCTAAAATAGTTGTTTTAGCCATTTTTAAACGCATTTTCATTGGATGTTTTGATTGTATTGATAATAAATAACGTATATGATTAACAGGAGATTTTGTATCATAAATATTAATTACATTTGATAGACAACATCTTTGTTCATCAGTTAATAATGAACGATCATTACAAAGTAAATCTATTGTATGTATTGTATTTAATGATGATAATGATGAAACAATTTGTTCATTTATTTTTTTACGACGATGATGTGATGCACGTAATAATTCTCTTTGCATACCAATTTCTAAACATTTTTGTAAACGACAATAACGACATGCACGTCGACTATTTATTGTTATATCACATTTTTCTCTAAATACACATTGATGTGCATCCTAAGGAAAAAAAATAATAATAAATAAATAAATAAATAAATTTAAGAAAATAAAAAAAAAATACATTCACCAACTAGATCAAAAGTTGCATTTCGACGAAAAAACATTTTACATGATACACAACATAATCCACCATAATGAAGTTGTGCACCATCAGTTTCACAAACTTTACATTGTAAAAGTAATTTATTAGTTTTAATCGTATCGATTGAACATGAGATTTGTTTATTCAAATCCATTTAGTAAATATAAATAATCTACAATAAATATTGAAATATTATCTTTTAATTGTATTAATTTGTATAATGATATTTAATATCATTTCGACGAATAAAAAAAAACATCCAATGAATCTAAGAAAAAAATCATAGTGAGTCGTATTCTAATTGCTTTCTTTTCAAATTATGACCATGCTCATGAGTTTTTGGCAAAGTACATAAAAAAATTCTCATGTTGTCATTTCGACCTGAAATCTAATCTGTATAGAGGTTATATAAATGCTATCATACACCGAATGCTATAGCTAGAATCTATGTTGTTTTATTTATGAGACGTGATAACCTTAATAAATATGTGTACATAAAAACAGATGGGATAAATTTGGTTTTGCTTGTATATCTGTCATCTTAGGAAGAAAACATTAGTCGTCGAATGATAAGGTTTATAAAACCTTATTATTCGACTAAATTTCAGGTTGAAATGACAACTTTGAATTTTTTTCTGCACTATCCTACATTGTATTAGAGATTCGCCGAAATTGTTATAACTCAAAAAGAAAGTAATTAGAACACTATTTATTATAGGTATTGTTTAGACTAAATCGAATTGATGATACTGACATAAGTATCGTCTTCAAAAGCTTTTTATCATTTGGAAAGACTATCATGTAAGTTGAAAACTTAGATTTCTCGACTGATCATATATATTTCCATAATCTATTATTCGTGCTCATATGAAGCAATTAATAAAAAAAAATTCGATCTAGTTTTGGAAACTTATTGTGAGTTCTTAACAAGAGAATGATGTTAATTCTTTTCTCTATAGAGATTTTTATCTATCATAATGTAGAAATTCTAAACAAGACTTGCTTTTCAAATATGATACATAACAATAGATATCCTTTTTTTTGTCTAAACATTCTCAAAGTACTAAAATCTTCTTGTTGACAATAAAACTACATCTATCTTATATCACATTTTCATCTCATATGATTCTATATATAGGCAATGGACCAACACAGCAATAAGATTTAATTGCTTCCTGTATAAAAAAAACAGCGGACGCAATAAGAGGTTCCTGCTTTCTGTGATATCTTCCTATTCCGATGATTATTCTAGCAAGACTAATATAGAATGCTAAATATTTGTTTTATTCTATTTGTATGGCTATACTTTTGTCATATATATATATCTAACGCCCGTCTTTGTTATAAAGTAGCTAAGATCTATTAATTAATATTATATCATTGGAGAAAAAGAAAACGATGACTCTACTTTTTTCTTTTTATCTATAGTAGAAAGAACAAGCCTATGAACCTGCTCTGTTTTACATTTTGTTTGACGTTTTATAATTAACTTTTCATTCATTAGTTAAGTGTCTGAAAAATGTGAAGTTTCTTATTATTTCACACACAAAAAGAAAACTAGAAATTTCATCACAAGAAAAATGTCAAATACATGTAATAGCACAGCTGTTACAAATATACATGAAGCCATTATATAAGATGAAATACCAATGCTGCTATCTTCAAGATATTGATGTGGGTTTTGACACTCTTTGTACCTATCGAGTTCGTCGGGCCCGAAAATCTTTGGGCGCAATAGGCTCCCATAATCTGTAGAATGTGCTGGATGTTCTAGTAATTGAATACAAGAAAACTGGAAAAAGCTATTTTGTACTTTGAAGGTGACTATCCCATTTTGCTTAAAAAGTTTCATTGCAAGGATCAAAATACGATTTGACCGAATCCGAAACTGGATTTGAAAATTCTTTGTTAATGAAAGACTATCTTGTTTGTTTTTTGGTTTATGTTGTACGTAGTTTTCAAATTAATTTACATACTATTGTAAACAAGTAACGTTCGTCGATTCGACTCACTTGACCCTCGGCTGTTTAAGACAGAAGTATATTGTGCCTGTGAGTATCGAAAGAATTGATCTACTAGCTTCGTCACAATAACTGACTCAAACTTTAATTTCTTGAATCGTAAAAGTCGAAGAAACTGATCGGCCTCTCTGAAAACAAGCCTTATCCGTGGAAACCTAGTTATAAAACAGCTCATTCAGGAAGAACGTATCGCATACACCCGATTTACTGAATTTTCAGTTTGAAAAATAGAATTAGTGAAAAGTCCAATATTAAAAGCCCGAGCACCGAACACTTAGCCAAGGTTTTTTTAATGACGTTTCATCGTTCACTTTGACAATAATAGACAAAAATTTACTTTATTTCATATAACTCTTCCTACACCTGAGGAAATATTATTATTTTCTCAAAAAAAATTTTCCCTGAACCCAAAAAAATCAATTCAAAATTTTCTGAAACTGACTTCAGATTCGGATTCTCCGACCTCAATTTACTTTCGTCAACCTTTATAAAGTATCGTTATTTTCTCGAAAAACTCTTTCCTTGATTGAAAAAACACAATTCAAAATTTTCAGAAACTGACTTCAGATTCGGATTCCCCGACCCCGATTTACTTTCGTGAACCTTTAAAAAGTATCGCTGATCGGATCTTTTTTTGACCCCGATGTTCTTTTGACCCTGCCACAAACCCATATACACAATCCATTTTTTTTCATATGACCCTCCCTACAGTTGAAGGAATAAATTTGTATCGAAAAAGTATTTTGAAAATCAATCAACTGATTAATGCAAGACTTGAGCTAAAATAATTAACCGTTTATAAAAAGTTTTTATTTGTGCCGTCTATGATTCTACTCACAACTATAAATTTATCGATAGTTACTCTTCAGTGAACTTTAAAGGTTTCTTCCAAGGTTTGCATAACAAAAACTATGTAAAAATTATATAAATGAATTGTTTATATAGCTTACAATATTATGATCATTTTGTTAGTTTACCAAAGAAAAACACTGTCATCTTACATCTCTTTAGTTTTTATTTGACACATTTTTTTTGGTTGTTAAAAATTTATATTGCCTAGTCAGAGAGACCTGATGTCGATTTTTTCTAGACGATTAATTATACGATCTGTTAATTATATTATATAATTTAATTTGATCCTTTATTTTATTTAGGTCACTAAAATCTTACTAGGAACATTGATTTCAAAACTAGCAGAATATTTTCTCTTAATTTTTGCAGATCAGAAAGTATAAATTCATTCGTTTAAAATAATATAAAAGCTAAAAAAACAAGAATGTATGATAAAACTATATTTTTCTTGTAATATCATAAACTTAGTGTTTATCTATTGAGAAAGGCTGAGATTGCTAAATCAGCTTGGTGTTATGGGACCTTTATTAAGTGTGCATTTAAAATTAAGACTTCATTTTTTTCTATAAAACTGCAAATTTTACCTTCGGTGGATAACTTCGCAATATAGGATGTCTTTTTGAAATGCTTAATGATGTAATCGGAGTAGAATTTCAGTAATAGTCTTTTTTTTTCAAGAATAAAAATAATATCTGAAAAATTCAATGAATAGTTGATGGTTTTTGTAACTATTCTCTATACAAAAATACGAGAAATATCTACTATTGAAATAGTTCTTATATTATCAATGAATTTTTTTAAGGACAAAGTCATGACATTTTGACAAGCAGAAAAACAAGTTGTTTTAGATCTAGATTCTTTTTCTGTCCAATAGTAAATCCATGTTCTTATTCTCCTATCACAATTATGTAACTGTGGTTTTTATTTTTTTATCTTATAAAACCAACTAGATGGCGCTTGTTATTGATAATTATTAATCGTGTATTATATAAGACCATAAAAATCATCGTTTAACAATTGTGTTTTATCTTAGAAAACAACTCCTAAGTATTGACATTCATTTGCTTTCAAATTCTATTATCAATTATCTTATGTTTGAGTAAAAACAAAAAAAAGGCTAACAGAAATAAATAAGTTATGTAAATTTCATTCATTTGTTAGTTCTTGATAATATAAATACCATGATGAAAACCCTCTAAAAGTCTGTTGTATTGAATTGAATAATGCTATCTTACTTCTTATTAAAATATTAAATTAATATTCAATCGAAGAAAATTTATTTGACAACAAAATTGTAATAAAGATATATTTGAAATGAAATAATAAGTTTTAATTAAGTATAACAACTGTAATTAAAACATATTATTCATTGTCTCACGGAAAATGAATCTCTTAATATTTCAATTATATGTTTTTTTTTTGTAAATGTAAATAACATTCACTATTTTCAAACGAAAATTTCAAGATATAAAATAATTTTTTGTCGAATTTTTATGATTTCATGGTTTAGATATTCAATAAGGATATATTTCAATGCTTCTTTTTCTTTTCATTCAATAAAATAACTAAAGTCATCTCAAATTGAACTGTCCGATGAACTTCTATATGAATTATTCAATAGTCAATGTTTGGAGCTGTTGTGAGTCAGTGGATAGAATTGTGGACTTCAACGATTTTAATAAATTGAAATCGAGAACGGAATTGTCGAACTCTATAGAATTGACAGACAGATTTCAGGACATGCGCGTCATTTTTTTTTAAGGAAAATATAGATACAATAGGAAAAGCAATTGAAGCATAGGACTAAACAAATATAGGAACGTTCGGAAAGTATCGATCTTTGAACTTATGTGCGAAACATCTATTATTGGATTCAAAATTATTTTCATAGCGTACCATCAATTATTATCTCAAAAATATCTTGTCTATACGAATGAATAAAACTAAACAGATTATCTCGATTGTGATTGCGGTAGTCAAAACAGTTCATATATCTGTTATAAAACAAAATCGATTGATGATTGATGCCACACATCGACATATGGTTTCTATCATGGAATATGAATAAATTTTTCATCAATATATTATCTATTTCACGAGACTACTCTAAATAATTAGTAATATATATATATATTTTTTTTTTCCTATATAGTTTATGTAAGGAATAAGTACTTTAAAAAACATTAGAAACATCAGTTTCTATCTAGATGAAGATTTGCAAATTGTTGGAATGAATAATAGAAATATAGTTAAATAGGTTTCTTAATGTTTGAACGAACGATACGTTTAAACAATTCGATCTTGGTTGGTATTGTTTTTTTTAGATCATACAATAACATTTTTTTATTGAACTAAACAAAAAAAATTTAATCAATAAAATTGATTACAAATTAACATTATGGCATTATTATCGAATGAAAATTTAATTCATGTATTAGATTATATGTTAGATGCAATGAATTTATATTTATCATTAATTATTTTTATATTTGGAACAGTTGGAAATATTTTAAATTGTTTAGTTTTATCACAACGAACATTTCATTCAAATCCATGTGCATTCTATTTTTTAATTTCATCTATTGTTAATCTTATTTCTATTATATTTGGTCTTACAACTAAAATTATGGCTAGTTGGCATCTTGATCCAACAGAAACAAATAATTGGATTTGTAAAATTCGTGTTTTTATTGTATTTACATCACGAACTATGGGTATATGGTTAATTATGTTAGCTTCTATTGATCGATGGTTATTATCATCTCGAAGTGGTTATCGACGAGATTTAAGTAATATAAAAATTGCAAAATTAGGTATTATTATAAGTTTTCTTCTATCAAATATTGTTTTTATTCATATGATTTATTGTTATGAAGCAAATATATTAGATGCACCATTAAAATGTTATGGAAAAAATATAACATGTCGTTTAATAACAGATTTAATTTATGGATTAGTTACAATATTAATTCCATTATTATTAATGATTCTATTTAGTATAATGATTATTTCAAATATTCAACATTTACGTCATCGTATAAAAGTTGTAACTGTTGTAACAGTACGAACACCATTACAAATTAAATCTATAAAATTAAAAAGAACTGATCATCATTTACTTCGTATGCTTTTAATACAAGTTCTTCTTTTACTTATATTTTGTATGCCACAAGCATTACATAAATTTTATATTACATTTAAATCAACTAATTCAATGAATAATTGGCAAGATGCATTAAATCATTTTTTATATAATCTTGATGTTATTCTTGCTTTTATTGCAAGTGGTATGCCATTTTATCTTTATACATTAGCAGATAGAACGGTTTTTCGTAGAGCATTTTATGAATTATTACAAATGTTTCATCGAAAAATAAAATGTCAATGAAATTATTTATTTTTTTCTATATTAAATAATTCATTTTTACAGTAAAAACATTTACTATGTATTATTTATTAATAAATCTTAGAATGTCTTAGCAGAATTATTTATGTTTTGGCATCATCACATATAATAATTTGGATGTTTTGTATAAAAGAAAAAGACGATATTTCATCTTCATTTGAATCACATACAACGATTGAAATTGAAAAGAGAATATCAATAGATAATTGAAGATTTTTACTTTATTGAATCTTATTTATGATCTCTCATATGACATAACAAAAACTTCTCCATCATAGTTCATTTAATTTCTTAACGAAGTTTTATGAATAGAGATGTGCAAAACCAAATGTTCTTTTGGTCTCTTGTGGTAGTCATCATTCTGATTCCAAAAGTTTCTATCAATTCTACTGTTGTTTTTTTCTCTTTATCTATTTCGATCATAGGTAATATGATAAAGAATATTGCAAATAAAAGTTGTTTTTCATTACTGAAGTATAATAGAATGCAAAGCAATAATTCTATGTTGATTATTATTCATTCTTGCTAATGATTACAACACATGAAATTTTTTTTTTAATAGAAAATAAAGAAAAGAAAAAAAGATATTGTCTTGATTGAAACATTCACAATCTCGTAATTACTATTGGTGACAAGAATTTGGATTTGACCATGACTGCGGATGCCCTAATGATTTTGATTATGAGCAGTCTACATTTTTTCTATATTATTAAGAGTCTTTATAAGTTATTTACATTTCTTGAAAGATAATTTTCTTATTTATTCGATATGAAATATTGTCATTAATCAAACAAAATATTTCAACTCATTAGAAAAAGATAATATAAGATTCACTGGAATCAAACCATTACATAATCTAAGATTACTTCTATATAATTTTTGTTTCTAAATATTTCAATTTCAATTAAAATCTGATCAAATTTATATAACAAAAACTTTGCATATTCTCTTTTACTTATATAACCAATTGTACATACATATCCCATAGTAATGGTACGTATTGATTATACTATACATACATACAAAGAGTTCCATCTGCATATTCTATATTCAATAATCTTATACTACATCAATTTTATTTAAATATAAGTTCAATAATGAAATAGAAAAACGTTATGATAAAAATAAGCAAAGAAAATCATATGAAAAACTGTTAGTTGAAGCGAAGATATCAAGAAAACTCATTTAATGTACAATGTTTTATAATAAAGGAAGAAAAAAGGATTAAAAACTAAATGAATTCAGTGATCATCATTTTTCATATATAGTAAAAAAGAAAAAAGTTAACAGTGAAAGAAAAAAAAAATGTAAACTTCAATCTACATTGTAATACAAATGTTCGTGTAATTTGAATTTATAGTAATGGTATGAGATCGCAACAATCCAATGATTTTTTGGATTTGTGTTCAATAGATTCAATCTAAAAGTAATAAATAATAGATATAAAAAGTTTTATGTAATCTGATTTGAGAGATTCATAATATTTTGTTCAATATAAATTTTGTACTAGATAATAAGAGTCATAATACGTACCATCTTCATCAGAACTAAGATCTTTTCGCCGTGGTTTTGTTTTAGAATTTGAATTAAAACTAGTTTCATCATTATCATCAAGATTAATTTTATTATTTGTTTCAAACCAATCTTTTGAAAAAACAGGAACATCTTTATTTTTTTTTGTAGATGAATATTGTTTTGTTCCAAAAATATCTTCTGTTGAACTTATTGAAACACGAGGTAAATTAGTTGTGTAATCAATATTTTGAGGTTTTTTTGCAAATAATGCTTTAAAATTTTTATCTTCTGAACTTGATGATAATCGTCGATTTTCAATATTATTTTTAAATGTAGTTGTTAATGATAATTTATTATCATTAGTATTTTTCTTATTAAATTCATATCTTGGTGAATTATTATCATTATCATGTGTTTTTATTGGTGTTTCAGATTTATAATAATCATTTTCCTCCTCCTCCTCCTCTTCATCCTCCTCATCAAGTTCAGATGAAGAATTTGGTGAATGATTTTCATCATTATCTCTTTCAATAGATGAATTAGATTGCTTGTCATTATCTTCATTTTGATAATTACGAAATTTTCTTATCGTACTATCTGAAGAAGTTGATAATTTATCATTATCATTATTTTTTTTTGTTAATGTTGTTGATTTATAATGATTATCTTCATTTTCTGAAAGATCAGATATTTTCGAAGTATCAGATGAAGAATTTTGTGAATGATCTGTAGTATCTTTTGTTTTCATTAACATATCAAGTAGTTCATAATTTGTTTCATCTTTTGAAGGACGAGATTTCTTTAAAATATTAGATGAAGAATTTTGAAAATTATCAATATCATCGTTTTTTTGTGTTGATTTATAATTATCATTATCCAAAAGATCAGATTTTGTCGAACTACTAGATGAAGTTTTTCGTGAATAATTTGTATTAGTATTTTTTTCATTTGATAAATCATAATTATATTCATCTTTAGAAGGATCAGATTTTTTAAAAAAACCATGTAAAGAATTTGATGAATTATCATCATCATCATTAGTTTTTTTTGTTAATGTTGTAGATTTATAATGATCACTATCATTATCATCAAAAAAATCGGATTTTTTCGACGTATTAGATAAAGATTTTTCTACATGATCAGTAGTATTATTTTTTCCAATTAATATATCATTATCTTTATCTTTAGAAGAATCAGATTTTTTTGAAGTATGAGTTGAAGTACTTGATAAATGATTAATATTATTAGGTTTTTTTGGTAACATTGTTGATTTATAATGATTATCTTCATTTTCTGAAAGATCAGATTTTTTTGAAATAGTCGATGAAGATTTTCGTGAATGAATTTCAGTATCATTTTTTTTCATGGGTATTTTCGATAGATCATAATTATTTTCATCTTTAGAAGAAGTAGGTTTTTTCGAAATAATAGGTGAATTACTACCGATTGAATTTGAATCAGATATACGTGGTTGACCCTATTGATTATGTAAAACTCAATTGTAAAAAAACAAAAAAAACTCACAAATCGTGAAGTCGATGGTGGAGCATCATCATCATTAGTTTCATCAAAATCCGATGAATAATTTTCATTATCATTATTGAGCGATATTGCTACTTTTTGAGTGTTTGCCTGTTGATCATTCGAAATAAATTCTATGATTAAAATCTAGAAAATTATACTTACTGAAACTTCAGATCGATTGGGTTTAGCAGAATATATGCGTGGTTTTTTATTATCTTATAATATGTTTTAAAGATATATAACGAAAATAAATATTTATCTATTATCAAATACCTGCTATCGGAGGTGGTGTTGGTGTTTTAGATATATGTGGAGAATGATCTCTAGATTTAATTATAACATGAGGTGAACTTGAAGTTTGTCGAATTTCAGGTGATTTAGATCGACTTCTTAATTGAAAACGAGGTACAACTGATCTTCGATAACGAGATGGTTCAATTCCAAGTGAAATAGTTGATCGTGATTTTGTTTTACGTTGTTTATATCGACAACTTTAAAAAGATAAAAATTTATTTTTGAGAAAAAAAAAAAAATTTTAATAAATAAAAATAACAAACCATCGACATGGTTTTATATTTTTAACATCAACAATACCAAATAAACCATGTTTACCACCTAATGGTACATTACGTTTATGTCGATGTTCACAACAAGCTGATAAACGACTATCAATAAGACCATTGATATAAAGTGTTAATGCAAATGGATAATCTCGATGACGTCGAGATTCAAATTCAAATTTTTCTAAATGAAATTATTGAATAAGACGAAAAGAAATAATTTATTTTTATTTTTACCATAAGGTTTAACATAACCTTTAAAAACAACAAGATTTTCTCCACCACAATGTTGTTGAGAAACAACAATTTCATCACCATCAGGTTGAAACCAAGTAGTATTATAATCAATATTTGTCGTCGGTCCATAATAGATCATTATTACTCGACGACGTTCTCGATTTCGTGACTATTTTTGAAAAACAAAATATTTCTATATTTATACTTCGACTATTTAACTAATTATAGAATTTTATTTTTCGAAATATATTCTTGTTGTTAACTTATTATTATCTAATAAGAGAATCATTAGAAATGATTTGTCTATTCATGTTTTATACAATATTGATACATGCAAAGTTTCATGTTAAAGTTCGAAAATATGAAATTTGCTGAAATATCAGAGTCCGACAGGAAAATTTCATTATCTTATAACAAAATATTTCCAAGTGTAAATCACCAATTCAATATTTAAATATAAAGATCTTTTTATGATGAAATAATTCGGATATTCTAATATCCAGGAAAATTTACCGATGAACAAAATTTTAGGTTTTCTTTTTTTCAACAAATACTTTACTGAAAGATTGAAAATTTAGTAACATCATAATATCTTGGAAAGAATTATGTATGGAACCGAACTCTTATAAATTTCATTGGAATCTTGACATAGTCAAACTATTAGTTCTATTGATGAGTTACTCTTTTCTTCGAACTACTTTCTTAAATTAATAGAATAAAACAATATATTTGTGATTAACAACAGTAACTATATAATGTTTTAGATTTTAATCTTGCACGTACGATGTTATTATTTCTTTATATTTTGACATTTCTATATTATATCTATCGGCAGCTTACATCCGAAATGGCATAATACTTCGGCTACAGACATTTTGAATGGAAGAAAGAAACATGCATAGCAAAAAAAAATAGAATGAACTTTCCTTCAAGGTTTCAATAACAATTCAATGATTTCTCTTTTAGAAACGTTTTTTTTTTTTTTGAATTTTAATCAATCTAACAAAAATAGAACATGTCTAATTTAATATTTCAATAAGACTCAACAAAAAAAAAACACAAATTATTTTACCGTAGGTTTTACTGAATAACGAGCCAAACATTTTTTTGAGTCATGTAATGAATGATGTGCAGATTTTGGACGTGTTGGTGAACGATTTTTCGTTCCCTAAAAAAAAACATATTTATATGATTTCATTGATATCTTTTTAATATATTAACTAATGCAATTGAATGATGAACATTTAATGAACTATGAGATCTATCTCGACGAGTTGTATGTTTTGATTCCTAGTGAATATTCAATCAAAATCAAATAAAAATTTAATGTATAGAATAGCAAACTGGTTTTTTTTCAATATGAACACGTTTAGCTGAAAAATCAAATTGATTACGAGTATGTTTTCGACGTTTTTGTTCATCTTCTAATACACTAAAATTATTAAACAATTTTCAAATTAATTTCATAAGTAAAAAAAAGAAAAAGAAAATCTTATTTTACTAATGATGAATAGATTTTGATAATTTATCTGCAGATAATGGTCGTCGTTGTCGTGTTGGTCGTCGATTTAGTGCAACTTCAGAATTTATAGCAGGTAAAATTTCACCTTGACGATTAATCTAAATAGATTGATCGAACAAAAATTATTTATAGAAAAAATATTTAATTAAATTCTTACTAATCCAGCTTTTATTAAATGTCGACGAATACGTTTATTTTGAAAATATATATTGAATTTTGGATCTATTTGATCATTAGGATTTCTATGATAATAAAAACAAAAAAATTTTCTTTTTCTTAAAATTCATCAATTAATTTTTAAACTTACTGTAAATCCGTCATAGTATATTTTTTTGTTTTGAATTGATCAAATTACGATGAATATTTTTTTCATACACACTGATTTTTCGATCGAGTAAATAAAAGAAAAACTGATTTCTTTTCTCTTTTTTTTTCCTCAATTTACACATTGTCAATAAAAAAAAAATTCTTAGGCAACAATCTCGATAGAGGCAACAGCAAAAAGAAAAAAAAAGTAAAAATAAATGGAGCAACTAAAGTTGATAAAGTTTTTTTTTTTTAAATAAATAGCACCAAAGACATTTTCTATGAAATAATAAATATGAAATCATATGTTCACATATATAACATTTTATTATAATTAATTAGTTTATTACGAAAGTGATTGATTACTAAGTCAATTAAATTTTTGTTTCTAATCGATGGAATTTTGAATATCAGACTTGGACACTGAACAACTTTTCTTGTTCTGTCCTGTTGCCTTATTTCATCGTAGCGGATCGCAAGATAAAACAATAAGAATCCTTATTTCGACTTTCGATCACCAAAGTACATATTAGTTTATAAGTTATCTTATACTTAATTTATTTTGTATCATTTTCGAATGCAGCAAGCAAAATTTTCAATAATGACTAATATTACAAATACAAGAACATATAGAAACATCTTGACGTATTATTTATATAATACGTTCATCACAGCATACAAATATTAACAAAATATATGAACTTGTGGGGTTTTCTCATCACTATCTTAATATAGAATGGATACTATTAAGAAAAAAAGTTCTGTCCTGTGTTCAGCTCTGATAGGCATGAGTTTAGAGAGCAATCAAATCGACATCCATATTCTAAATTGATTAACAACTGAGTTGTAATCGAACCGATCTGGACCTGACTGTTTTGGTGTATAGAAGTATTTGTTATTCGTCTTTGAGAAACTTTATTGATATAAACGATTATAACATGATTTATCTTTCTGAAGACTTGTCAAAAAAACCTGAGTAGAAAAAAGGAACATGAATGTATTTGCGAACCATTTCCACTAACCGATTCATAATGATCTAATAAACCGGCTGGACACGGCCATTTCAAATATTTTCCATGAATTATAACTCTGTAGTAACAAATCGATTTAGTAATAAACTAATTAATTCTAATCTTTTTCTTTATTATTCTTTGATAAAAAAAAAAATACTGATGAATTAATAAAAAAAAGAACCTATTTTAATCGACAAAAATCTTTTTTTTTTTTTTTAAGAAATATAATTGTCTCATAAATATTTATTTATCTAGAAAAAGTATCAATAAATAAATACTAAAATGGTTTTATTTTGAAACAAGGTGGTGGAGGTTGTGTATTTCCTTGTGCAATTCCTTCTACACCTTCACAAGCATAATAACGATTACCCCATGGAAGAAAACCAGGTTTTGTTACAAGCACATTATCAAATAAAACGTTTAACATTGGATTAGATGTATTACCAAGTATAACACCAGGACTCAAATGTGGACCATTAACAGTAATATTACGTAAAACAATATTATTCCAAGTAATACCAATTGGAATAGGACAAGGTGTATCAGGTATAAATGGCCATAGAAGTGAACAAGCATCTTTATAACCAGCTTGTTGTGGTCCAATCCATATTGACCATTGTGAAGCATTATTAATAAGAATATTTTCATATGTAACATTTGTAATTTCACCTGTATGTCCAACTTGTCCTGGACGTGATTTTAAATAAATACCTTTAAAAGTATTGTACATAGTACAATCACGAAATGTAATATTACGAACACAAGTATGCGTTGCAGATGGACCAATAGAACCAATTGTCAAACCTACACCTGAAGCATTAATACGCTCAAAGAGCATATTTTCACTACATGATGAATGAATACTACTTGAACTTTGTTCTTTAACAGCAATACAATCATCATCATTCCATATATTACAATCATGAATCCATACATTTGTACCAGCTACATCAAAACCATCAGTATTGAAAGCAGTCATTTCAGTTAGATCATGATATTGAGCATCTGGACGTCTACGTGCATCAACATCTGTATGACGAATTTCTAAATTAGCTATATCATTAGCAAGAAATGTCCAATAAGGTGAATTTTTTAATAATAAATTTTCAACTAAAAGATTAGTAGAATTATAAATTGATAATAAACGTGGTCGATTTTCACCAATTAATAAATATTCAACGAGACCCCACCAATTTTCACCTGATCCATCAATCACACCTTTATTTCCTGAAGGTAATGAACTCGTAAAAGTAACATAATTTAATTGTTCAAAAAAGAAACATTCATGAACTCGTTGAGTTTGAGGATCACGAGGCCATACAGATTGATTATCAGAAAATTTTAAAATTCCATCAATTTGAATAGTTACATAGGCAAGATCACGTGCATAAATACCGCCCATTAACCAAAATGTTTTATTAAATGGTATAAGTAGAGTATCTCCATGTTGCATAGAAGCAAATGTTTGATTAAGAAGACGTGAATTAGCCCAACATGTATCTAAGGAACTATTGTTAGCAATACCTCCAATGATTTCGAAATTAATTATTCGATTATTGGATTTCAATAGATTATGTTTTATTGCATGAGAAGAAATAATTCTCGATGAACTTGTAGCTAATATGCAATAAGAACTAAGAATAAATCCAAGAAAAATAAAAACCATAATGAACTTTTCTTTACTACTCGTTAATAAAATATATTAAAACAAATTTAAACGAGCTATTCAACGATTACTAGAGAATAGATAAGAATATTTACATTCTTATCTTTTTTTTTTGTCATCTATCATGAAAAAGTTCTCTACACAAAGTATGTGCACGATATCAATCGTAGATTTGTAATGCGCATCTATCTATCATTACGATAACAAAAAATATTCATAAATATTTGTTTCTTTCAAACACCATGGGTTAGTAGTTAGCAATAGGACAATTTTGTGTCATAGTATGAAGTAAAATCAATCTATTTTTTTTTGGCTTAAATAAGTTTCACCATAGAAAAAAAAGAATTTGTCTTACAAAAAAAAATATGACATGAAAATAAACTTTACACACACACACACACACATATACAATTATATGAATATTAAGTAATCATTGCACTTTTTTCAGTATTAGTTTTCGTTTTTTGTTCTTCTTCTTGTAAAACTTTTGCACCTTCTTTACTTTCATTAAAACGATAGAAAGGAAAATCAAGAAAAATCCAACGTAAAAATTCTGGAAATCGTCGATAAATAAAATTTGGAAATGGAATAAGAACAGATGTTTCTTTGACATATTCATCATATCTTGACCAAGCACTTTTAACATCTGGATCTTGAATAGCACGTTGATCAACATCTGACCCATTTGACATTAAGAAAAATTTTTTTCCTGTTGGTTTTTGAGTAAGTGGAAGTCCACTAAGTCCAAGAAGAAGAATCATTGTAAATATTGGACTTAATATACTTGCCCATAAAGCTTTTTTTACATTACCATTGGCAATATCTGATATTGCAATACTATTAACAATAACAAATATACCCCACCAAAGTAAAATTTCACCAAAATAATTTGGAGCTCGACTAAATTTCCATAGACCATAACGCATAAATTGTGATTTTGGTGGATTTGAAAATCTCCAAGCAAATTTATGAAAATCTGCTACAACTTCACAAATAAATCCTATTGACCACATAACAATACCAGCAATATCACGTGCTCCTAACGGAGGATTTCCACCTCCTTGACTAGGAACAGATGCAGCTGGAGAATTAAGTAATGTAACTGGAAGTGATACAATCCAAACCCAAAGAATTTGAAGAATATAGAAAATAGCCATAGCTGCAGGTTTTTTTCTTTTATCATCAAATCGAGTATCTTTACCACCAGATTTAATAACACGAATCAAAAGAAAAATAGCTAATCGTGCTGCCCATACCTATAAATTAAATATTAATTTCATCTAATAACATCATAACAATCATTCTTACCATGACTAACACAGAAACAATGATATTACGTGCATAATATGTACCACCCAAATTTAATGTAACAAGAGCTAAAATTAAAAAATTTGAACCACCTGCAAAATCATTGATGGTTTCATCACCGAATATTAACATAATAAGAAATGCCAATGCTTCTATTAGCAGGAAATAAAAAAAAAAAAAAGAAATATTTTTTCATGTAATATATTTGTGTTTTTTTCTTTAGTGCACTTACGATACCCTACAGTAATGACAGCAGTTACACCGAGATAATATTCATCTAATGCATATACTACCATTTTAATTCAATTAGAACTAAAAATATAATAAACTATTAAAAATAAAAATGTAATTTAATAACTATATAGATATAAAGCAAATCATAAGTCATTTAGAAAAATTTTTCAAATCAAAAAAAAAAAGAAAACAACAGCATGACTTGATTTTTCTATCTCTAATAATTTGTCAAACTTCTAATTATTGCAATAGATAAAAATCTCGATATATTATCGAAAAATAGATTATTGAAAATTAAAATAATCAATTAATATTTGAACAAGATTTTCTCCATTTATTACAATGTCAACCCACTCTATTTCAATAATTGTTATTCTTCATTACTACTTTTTCCTGACATACATAAGCCGTCTACATGCATCTACATGACTTCATTTAAATAATTAAGACATAAATCAACTCAAGACATGTCTAAAACAAACTCCGATCATAATCAAGTCAAAAAAATTTTCAAATAATAAAAATTGTCTATATTACCTATTTCTAAAATAATACAAAAGTCTCACAAGTGAATCTTAAAATCTTACTTATTTTCAAAACTATCGAAACAAACTGATTGCATAATCTTACATACTCGTTAACATAAAAAGAAGCAGTTATATAACACGACAGATACTTCAAGTACAGAATAGAAAAAATGTTTTTCCTCATTTTTTTCATTCGTTCTGTCATGGGATGAATAGGACACAAAAAAAGATTTGTCGGGTAGCCATTACACATGCTTCTTTCCTTTACCATGTTGGTAACCACTAAATGATAGACATTAATATGAAACTTATCATTACTACTAATGAATAGCCATATTCACTTAAAAAAAAAGGAAATTTTTGTTTTTTAATGAAAATTAAGACAAAATGCTCTCGAACTTTCAAAAAAACACTAACGTGAAAATGACTCGAGCTGATACGCGCCATTTGATATCATATTAGACTTACAAGGAGGTCTCAGTAAGACTAAAAAACCAGAAAAGGGTTTATATTCATGAGCCTCTCCATCCGAAATCATGCCCACAAAAAAAGTCGAATGATAAGTAGAATATTCTGAAAGTTTCGACTGAAAATAATGTTCCTTTGCGTTCTACTGACAAGCTTCTATTGCTAATTCATGTGAATAAATATGTTTATCAAAAATGAAAGTTTATTTTATTCTACATAAATAAAACATTAACTAAACATAAAAAATATCAGTGCAGCATGCAATTGTTTATAGTCGAACCGAGTCGAAAAATAAAGTTCATATGTATAAATTCATGTGTTAAATTGAACCTATAATAGAAAAAATTCTAATTGAAAAACTACATGATCTGGAAACATATCTGTACAATCAAAAACAACTTTTAAAATAACTGCATATGAATGTAAATTTTAGTCCCATTATTTTTAAAGCTGTACAATCTCGCTAATGTTCTATTATTGGCATCCATATCGAAACGAAATCTTTCTTTTAGTTTACAATGCTTTCAATTATAGTTGAAATATGTGTTGAAATTCTATTCGACTCCAAATTCAACAAATATTCAATTCGTAAAGAGTTACTGAAATCATCACTGATTTTTTTCATGAAACACGATTATTCACGATTTTCATAACATGGGAATATCCTTTTGACTGAAGTAGCGTTATTTGATTTTTCTATAAATATCTAATGCTGGAGTGAAAATTCAGTATAACGGCAATAATTCGGCTTCACCCTTATGGCCGTGAGTTTTTCTAAGATTCTTCTATTCATATCGATATTACCTTGTGAATCTAATATGAGGTCAAATTAAAAACATTCTCAGGAATATTGAAAAAAATGGTATAAGTTCGATCTCGATATTTTCACTCTACATTTCAGGGTATATTATCTGAGTTCACATTCTTCAAATCATTTAGACATAAAATGACTAATTTGACGTACATGTCAAGAAAATAAATTAAAAATCTTACAAAGAACAACGTATATGTGATGCTTCTCATCGAATCAAAAGCAAGTACTTTTTATGTATCTGTTTCATGTAATCGATAGCGTAGTAATTTTAATCAAAAAACTTTCATTATAAAAACCAATAGGTGATATTAGAATTTCTTTTCTCACATAATATTCTGCTCCGGACATCTTAATTAAAAGTTATGATAATATATTTTCGAACGTAGAAAGTATATATAATAGAATTTATTTGATGTCTTTATTTCATTTTTAAACACATACATCTTTCCGTGTCACTAGAAGTTCAATCAATGTCATCGAACGATAGTACAGTTCTATTGTGGTATAATGCTACGACTCAACTCAATCGTTATTTTTCAATAGTTATCTTTCTATTTGGTATTATTGGTAATATACTCAATATTTTGGTTCTTTCTCAACGGAGTTTACGTTCAAATCCTTGTGCATCACTTTTTCTTGTCTCATCAATAGCAAGTTTGGTGGCAATTTTTTCTGGTCTTTTCACTCGAACAATTTCTGGTTGGGCAATTGATTTAACAAATACAATAACATGGCTTTGTCAATCACGTACTTTTGTAGTATTTGCTTCAAGAACAATAGCCTATTGTCTTATTGCATTAGCTACAATTGATAGATGGTTATCATCATGTTTTGATCTTCGTCGACGACAAATGAGTACAGTAAAAAATGCTCAACGAGGAATGATTATTATTTTAATTTTTTCATGTCTTCTTTATGTTCAAATGTTTTATTGCTATGAAGCAAATCTTATAAATGCGCCACTTAAATGTTATGGAAAAACAATAGCATGTCGTCTTGTAACTGATCTTACATATGCATTTGCTGCTAATATATTTCCTTTAATTATCATGGTTTGTTTTGGATTAATGACTATTATAAATGTACATCAAGCTAAACGTCGAATACAAGTTACGAATATGTCAAGTGTATCAGGAAACATAATAAGTAGTCAACAACGATCAAAAAAAATAGATCATTATCTTCTTTGTATGCTTTTTGTACAAGTAATTCTTTTTGCTATATTTACTCTACCTCAAAATATTCAAAAATTTATTTCACTTGCTCAAACAAATCAAATTAAAACAACATTAGATAATGCAATTGAAAATTTTATTTTTAATTTTTTTCTACTGTTTGCTTATCTTGCTAATGGAATGTCATTTTATATTTATACACTTTTTGGTGGAAGTGTTTTTCGAGATAGACTCTTAAAATTAGCACAACGAGTACGTGAAATAATTTGAATGCTTTTTTTATTTATGTAATAAATAATAAATATATATTGAAAGATCAAAAGTTATTTAACTTAGAATTTAACATTAAAGTTCTATATTCGTAATTAATTCTTATATTTTCATTTTGAAATGCTGATTATAGGATAATTTTAATAGATCTAATTTTTAGTATTCGATTGATCACACCAAACTATGGATGACAATATTTTTGATCATCGAAATTCTTCAACATGTATTTTGTATTATGTTTCTCAATAAAGGATCTGGCTGTGACATCTTCTTCTCATCTACTTTCACATCCTCTACCAAACCCACACTCAATACTATCACACCATCAAGTGAACCGACTGCATGTGATAGAATCCAGTCTAGTTTCGACGACGACATTGTCAAAAAGGAAAATAGATATGCACTTGTTTTAAATAGATACACACACTCTAATTACTAATTGTTTTGACAATAAATTGATTTATTTAATCTGAGGGCATCTTGTTGCCGTTCCTACTCTAAGATATGCAACTATGGGAATAATGTCTTCTACATTGTGTTAATATAGACCTGCAGATTTGATATGTTTATTTTTGGAAAGAAACCAAATCAAAGGACTTAAAACTTTCACAATAAACTATCCTTATCAAACCTAGTCTCTATATCAGTTATAGAACTTACCTTGTCAAGTAATGATTCAATTAAGAATCATAATCAAATGCTTCCTATTAGGAAACCATATTATTATTTTGCTGTAAAAAATTAATTTTTTGACTAATTCTTTCATATACTTCCGTACTACAAATATTCTAGACAAGATCTTTAACAATTAGTTTATATTCTTAGTTTAAAGTGAAAAATGTAATAGTTTTACTGCAGATATAAGAAACACTACTTTAATCTTGATTTAAATTCAACCAGTTTCAGCTTCATAGGTATTTAAATTGAGTTCATCTACGATGATAGATAAAAATCTTTAGTTGGTTGAAAACCGGGTAGTATGGAATTTGATAAAACTTGATTGTATTCTCAAGAAAATATCTTCAGTTACACTTCCTTTCTTCCTTAGTACTTCTTCACATGACACGGAAAAACAGTTTTATTATAACAAACAAACACTGATTCAAAAAAAAACACTCAACATGCATAAAAACGCTGTAGATATTCTCAATGAACAACTAGTGCTTTCATCACTGCTGGTTGCTCTAAATAATAACACAAGGCAAATTTAGAAAAAATAAATCATAAAATCATTTTCTTGCTGTGGTGAGCTACAATATAAACGAAGGCAACGTCCATAGGTAGATCCATGTCTGAGTAAAGTTGTTGTATATCTTCAATAATATCCAGTATCATCGTTGACACAATTTATTTAACGCCATAAGTATAATTTGTATTGCTACTATGTTGCATACTGACAGCAAAAGAATTATTCTCGGTTTTTGTAATGTTTGAGCTGTAAGAGATCATGTGAAATATTCGTGTGTCGATTTATCACATTAATTCTGATAGCCAGGTGATCGGTAAATCAAGTGCTTTCAAAAGCATCTTACATTGTGACAAATATCTTCTACTAATCACAAGTGTAAAAAGCGTTTTTTTTTCTTATTCAAACCAAAAAAATGAACATTCAAGAGAAACCTAAAAAGTATCATCAAACAGTCCTCTTGCATAACTTGAATGAAAATATTTTGATGGAGAAATTATAATTTATATCTTGTTTAGCTGATTACTGAAGCTTGATCTTAAATATTCATATAGAAATCATCTCATTGGTCTTTGTTTGGTAACGTTATTGAACGCACGGTAAAGATTCAACAAATTTCAGTTAGATAGACTCATAAAAAATTGAACTTAGTAACTGAGATTAATCGTCAACTGCTATGTTCCAAAAGAGTAAGATAATAATTCACTCAAATGATTTATTCACATCTAAATGACTAATGGAGATTATGTGCATGGACTGTTTGTTATACAGCAGATTCTTCAGAACAAATATGTAATAAACATGCATTTTTCCTCTTTCGTCATAGAAAAGCGTGAATATATATATGTAAGATAAGCTTCGAAGCTATTTTATTTTAACAAATGAGTCATAAATACTTTCGTTTTTTTTAGTCCTTTAGTTCTTTTGATGCAAATGCCTAAATTAACTCGAAAAATGACTACTTGAAGGATATCAATATGTTCAACTGTTCTTGAGTGTTACATGTAGATCTACAATTCTTTTTTAAGTAGACGTAGATGTTGCTAAGATGCATGTCTTGACATTATTTTGTATAATGTAAAAAAATTGGGGGCTAGGTTAGCATCGATCACATGGAAACTTTTTCGACTTACGTTGGCGAACAACTTTATTGAATCATCTGACGAAGACAATGATTTTCTTCATTATTTTTCGTGATACAACAATTAAGAGAAAACAATGTTGACATCATTTTCCATCACTCAGAGACAACCACTGCTAAAAGAGAGCTCAATTGCACGATTATACGGGATGTTATATGACAAAAATTTTCACTTCATCATCAATAGGACCTTACACACAGAATTCAATAAGCAAATTTCTACGACCACCACGAACTAAAAAGTAGTCATCGAATCAAATTATCACATTTCATACCAAGACACAAAAAATATAGAAGGGCAACTAAAATATTTCTACTGAAAAAGTACCATTATTATTAGCCCATAACATTTCTTAGGAAACTTGACAAACTCAAATCTTCAAGTTCTTCAAAATGTGGTAGATCTCATAATCCCTAAGGATAGACCGCACTATAATGCCCCAAGCATAATTCACACTATCATCTATATAGCGAATTAGTAGACAGGTTTTATATAGATTCGGGTTTCTGAAATTCATTTGGACTCTATGATTGCTGTTTGTATTGGTAAAGAATCCAGGTCGGAGCCAAATAGTGAAGAACGAAGGTTCACTCTAAAGCACAATTCTCTTTTTCTGGAGAACTGTGTACTTCTTGACGGTACGAAGACAGGTTTCGTCCAGCCTCTTGCCTTTGAAATTTTTTAGCCCTCATTAATTTGTATTGCCCCTAGACAAATGGCTCCGGGCCTGAACCAAATAGTCGAGGAACGAGGGTCTAAGAGGTTTTGAAATAGGTTATAGATGACCCCAGGCTGACAATATGATCCATTCTTTTTAACCAATTCTTGGTCTGTCATTGGAAGGGTTCCTATAGTTTTATGCAGAATTAAATTCTCTTCCGTGTAGTGTATAAACCGACCGATCAATAATCAGAATACTCTTCTGAAAATGAGTGATTTTCGCTCCACGAACATACCTAAAAATGCCTATATTGCAAAGAGATGAAGTTAGGGAAAGCTTAAATCGATCAACCTGAAATGTTTAGGGACATCTACTATCATTATTTTCAGGATTTCTTAAAATCTTCATGTCAATCTACCTTCGCTTTAAATTGAGCTTAAATATCCCTAAAATATCCCTTGTCCTCACCTCCAGCTTTTATGAAAAGAAATTTATGGTACGTTCACATCTCGATAGATGAGACATTTATTCTTATTGAAAAATTTTCCTATTTTCGAGCGATTGAAACATGTTTCTATGGAGAATATTTGATTGCAGTATTCAATCTTCGACATTCTCAAAAATTCTATTACCAAGAGGTCTCATCCATAAGAGACTTCAAGGTAAAAATCGCATTTTTTAAATGCTACTTCCCTCTTCTGCACGCATTCAATATAAAAAAAACGACCTTTAGAAAAGCTTGGTGGTTTTAAGAGGCATAAACCTATACGAATGTCAAAATTGACAGTTGCATTTATCGATGTGAATGACAACAGAATGCAGACGGTTAAGACTAGAATTGATTTTTTTTTGTAGCATGTATCTGGATCTCCTTCATAGATAACTCCGAAGACAATGAATCAATTTACAAACATAAATAAACTGCGAAGATGAAAATTGAGAAAAACTAAATAAAAATAGATTGTGTTATAACTCAACAAGAATGATCGAATGTAAACAGTCTCAAAATATAAAAATAAATTTCTTCAGTATAAAAATTGAAAAAACCTTTATGTTAAAATGCATTAGATAATTAATGAATAACTGCTTAATTATGTTAACATTGTGCTCTGTCTAAAAAGTGTTTAAAATTGATCGTCCAAGGAGAAAACTTCAGAAATCAGAGAAGTCTGGATTGTGGAAGAGATCAGTTCACAATAACAAGTTTTGACTAGAGATCCGTTATCGATACTCCCATGTCAAATATTTATATCAACATCTGATCAACAATTAGAATTCATGTACTTTGAAGATTTCGTTTTTCACAATCTTTAATATTCTTTAGTATGATCAGTTCAATAGTTTAATAAACTTGAAAAAAATAATTCTTACTGATCCATTTCAACGATTATTTGATATTCCACTAAAAGTATTGTCTGAGAAAACTTACAATCTTTCCTCATTTTTTTTTTCTATTGCTTACATATATCAAAGTGGTTCGATCATCATGTTAAGCTAGAAAACTGCTGCAATCGATATTTGAATTTCTTGAACAGATCTCATATGATGTATATCTATCGATAAAAAATGATGAACATCAATTTTTTGATTGGTTTAAACATATATTATAAAATTCTATTTTTATCTTAGCATCAAATAAAGATTTTGATCACATACGACAAATAGAAAGAGTTTCTTTTCTCAATTACTTTCTTATTGAAAAATATTTAGATTCGTTATATTTAGAGATTTATTTAAAAAAATTATTTCGATTTTTATCATTATTTTATTCTCATTCAATTGTATCATCAGAATATTTTACTGATAAGTTGTTTTTCCAATATTTTAAATTATGTACAACAAAGTAGTAGTCCTACATTTTCAAAATTAACATTAATTACTAGTGCAATGGATGTTTCACATTATACTACAACAAAGTAATAGAATTGAAATTCTTGATTTAAAAGTTTTATTTTCGAATAGGTCTAATTGGTTTGTTATTTTTGATAAAAAAAAAATACCTCTAACAAATTGTTCATCTATTTATTGCTGTATGTATTTTAATCTTTATCAAAACAGAGGATTTTCAATTTGTCTTTCTGTGAAAAAGAATTCATAATGTAAAATACAAGCGAATGGTATCAGGACAAGAACAGTTAGCATCAAAAATTCTTCTGAATCATACATATTCTTGTAAATGTATTGAATTCACAATAGGTATTCGGATGTGAGTGTAGTTCTTCGCTTTACTGACGCCTAACACACTCACACCTACACACTTACACCTATACCCACACCCGCCGTGAGACTCATGTATCTACCTCGTTAGTATTTCTTTAAAATATTTTACCGTCGAATACATAATTAGCTTTATTTAAATAAACAAATTTCGATTTCGAAAAATACGTAAAATACATAAAAATTTGTATATTGTTCTCAATGAGAAGCTACTGCCTTCATCATTGCTATTTTCTCGACATAATAACAGAAGACAAGTTTAGAGAAAACAAATCATCAAACGACACTTTTACTGTATTGAACAACAGAGTAACTGACAGCAATACCAAAGTCGGAAATACCTTGTACGAAAGGCTTTGTTAAATTTTCTGTTATATGTGATCCCCAGACTGTGAAACCAGATTTAACAATATAAATTTGGTTTGTATCACTACTATCTTGCATGCCAACAGCTAAAGCGTTGCCAACATCTATAGGTAATGTACGCGAAGGAATTTTCAAAGTTTGCCATTGTGTAGTATTTCTTTGAGGCTTGATGGCATAGCGATGTAATATTTCATACAGAGTAAGATATCTCGATAGGACAAATAAGTAGAGTGATGCAGTACCTTCCCAATTAGTAAAAAGACGAAAACTGACGCTACTAACATAACCATCAGTGAGAGAAGCTTGCTCTAAATTAAGATAAAGATTATTACCAAGTCGACGACCATTATTAGTCTCATATTGTATAGGTTCTTTGAGAGAATAATTAGTGTCTTCAATATAAAGAATTATTATCATAGTTAGATTCATTTTAAAAGAAACAAACTTAGTATACTTACAACTTTCTAACTGATTCGAAATTGTTGTCGATAGAGGAGATTGTTCAGAGGTCGTTAGAGGTCGCTTTGGAGTTGTTGTATATAATGGATTGTTAGATGTTGTGAAACTGGTACTATCTATACAAATGCAATTTTAATGTAATTCTCATTGTCAATCAGTTATATTTTTTAACTTACTTGTTGTTTCATTTGTTTGATTTTTTATTCGATCTTGCTTTCGATTAGAGGCTATGAGGATATAATGTCACTATTTGTGTAGATGTTAATTTATTATTGTCAAAAAATAAACTTACAACGTTTTGATAATATTATTGTCAAATTAATATATAATGCAAGACAAATCAAACCTAATATCACTCCTGCGATGATCAATTGACGATCTCGATCCTCTCTATATTATGTTATAGAAGTTACATTATGATATATTGAATATGATAAGTATACCTGATTCTAACTAGATATCGCAATCTACGATTCATATAACAACTTCAATTAAACATTAATAGACATAAAATGAGAATCACGAATGATTTGAACTTTTAACTAGATTAAAATGTTGCAAGACAAATTGACAACTAGTTTCAATAAAAATTTGTAATTGAAACGAGTTGAGTTTGAAATGATCGTAGTTAACGTAAAAATATTTTAATCTGAAATAAATATCAACCTGTTCTTCGATATTCATATATAAATCGGATATCAAGTTTCAATTTCTGTATCCTATTGAAGGATATTAGTTACGGGTTCTTTCTTCTTTTTCTCGGAATCTAGGAACATATGGTCCTTTACCAGAAAACGGAAAAAGAAATGTGTTTGAACACTTGAGTGTGTAGGTAAACGCATTAAAACTATTTGTGAAGTGCTTTTGTGTTCCTTCGAACAGAATATCAAAGAACTAGAATCTTAACAACCTCTAATATCGTAGACATCCATTGTTCGACTTCTTGAACATATGTACAAATACTTCAGAATTTTGAGTTCTTATGGAAGCGAACTAATTAAAGAAAAATGATTTGCTAGCGTTCTTTGTCTTTTGTTTAATCATATGAGAATAGATGATTTTTAATTTGAAGTTTATCATCTTTTTAGTTCAAAACTAATCAAAGTCTGCTGAAACTTTTTGACATGAACACTACTTTTTTGGGGGTTTTGTAATTTTTGAGCTCTTCGAAATATTGTGGAATATTCATATGTCGATTTATTAAATTAATTACTATATGCAGCTTATTGATAAAACAAATTTCTTCAGAAGCATTTTGAAAATATCTTCTATCAATAACAGGTGTGAAAAGAGTTTTTTTTTTCTTATTAAAACAGAAAAATGGAACTTTTAACAAAAACCTAAAAAGTATCATCTAACGATTCTGTTACATAGATTAAATGAAAAGTCTAGTAGAGAAATTATGATCTATATCTAATTGTGCTTGTTATCGAGATTCGATCTGAAATATTCTTATTGAAATCATTTTATTGTTTTTCGTTCAGTGTCGTCATTGAAAACTCGAGAAAGGCTCAACGAGTTGCAGTTATAGAGGCTCATGAAAAACTGAAGTCAGTAAATAAGAAAAAATGGTCAATTGATGTGATTCAAAAGGATGAAATGATAATTAACTCAAATGATTAATCGACATTCAACTTACTAGTAAAAACGATGAGTATGACTTTTTTTTCTATACAACAGATTTTACGGAACAAATATTGTTTGAAAATGGGGTTTTCTTTTTCTATCAAAGAAAAATAAACTGGATAAATATATGTCAGATAAGACTTAAAGCTAATTTATCATAAAAAAATAATTCATGAACACTTTATTTTACTTTAGTTGATTAGATATACATGAATGAAATATTTTTAGGTAACATAAAACCTAGATTACAATGGTTTTTCTCTTACCATGCATCTAGTCTATTAATTGAAACTATATTGTGAAAAGTTACAAAAAGACACCAAATATTCTGCCCGCTTTGTTTATATTGTTCAAAGAATATTCCGAAAATTAATCAATAAATTATGTCTATATGAAAAATCCTATGAAAGATTGATTAGAGATTTTCTAAACTTTTTTCTGTCTATAAAAACTTACTTTTTGTACAGAAGACTGAATAATATTTTCCAATTTAATACCACTGAAATTTTTACATAACCACATTTTATCTATAGCTTCTTCATCTATTGTGAATCAAAATACTACACCGTTACTTTCTCTCTGCCAATAATTATTTCAACAAGAAAAAAAAAACCATGAAAGCAAATCATATCGAAAACTGCACGTATGGATTCCAGTAATGTGTGTTTGAAATTTTTAATTGTTTGTAATTATGTCTACATGTACGATTCGATCATTAGAAATTTTTCTGTGTTTTATTTTTGAATGTTATCACCATACGCACATGCCATATGTAGTTTAGATGCATAAGAATCTCAGAAAAACTTTTCTTTCGATAATTGGTGAGTTCAATGAGCTTTGTTCAATACGTGACGATTTACGCTCTCTTTAAACCTATATCATCTCATCTCTTGATATAGATGTTCAAATAATTAAAACTTATTGCCTAAATTTGCTTGACAGTTGAACATTTGATGAATCCATTGTAATGCATCTAATATTATAGTTTATTTTTTCTTGAACGCTTTATGCAATATTGAATTACTTTCATGATCGGAGCATGGTATTTAATTGATACTTAGTCTAGATGTCTTAATTTTTTTT